TTAGGGGTGGGGTCAGGTGCCACGCCTCCTTTTTAAAATCGTACCATTTCGTACGACTGAACTCATACGAATTTGTACGAATTAGCCACTAAACTGGCAAAACGTAAAATACTTACGTTTTCTCGTGAGATCAGGCTGTCAGATCACGTTTATATGTTCATCTTAATGCCAACTGTGTAAATAATCATCGATGAGATGCTTATGATAAGCCGTTGTTTGTTTACCTTCAAGCTTTGCGTGTGCCTGTGAAACAGCCTGTGAGCGCCTGCACACGCACATATTATGAACATCTCGACATGCGAAAGTGATCCTGCGAAAGTTGTTCACAATGTTGATCATCCACAGAGTTTGTAATGTAGTCAAATGTTTACAAATACAAGCGCAGCCGTTTAAAGCTCATTTGTGGTGAATGATGTCAGAATTTACCGGTATTTTGGAATAGATGTGTGAATGCTCTTTTCCGAAAAATTTCCGTAACGTCCTCGCCTGTGTGAACAGCGCTTTTTTGAATATACCGGTAAAGTCGTTCTGTAAATATTCCAGATATTTACGGGTATCACTGTGTGAAAGGGGCTACTGTATGTGTTTAACATTTTTCAAAATTGTTCCATCTTTTAGCCTAGAAGGCAGTGATCACAGCAATATAAGACTTTACGTTCATACTTTCAAAGATTTTTTAAAAATAAAAAATATAGAGTTCAATAAAAAATACTTTTATGCTGCAAAAATGGTTTCTCCTGTGTTTCTCATCCAAATTTTACTGAAATTTTTCAATATTTTTCAGGAAGATGTCTGCTGACGCTGTGGTGAAAACCTCGGCGACATGCCATAGTTAACCCTGAGCAAATACCTAAAAACTCGGTGTTACATTTAACCCCGCATTACTTTGTGCCCCGTGCTCCCCTATTTACTCATCCTCAAGTCATTCTAAACATTTAGCATTTCTTCTGTTAAACACCAAAGAAGATATTTTGAAGAAAGCCATTGATAATAACCATTGTCTTCCAAACAAATACTATGGAAGTCAATGGTTACAGGTTTTCATCTTCATTCAAAATATCTTATTATGTGTTTAACGCAAGTAAGACATGTATAAAGGTTTGAAACAAGTAATGGGGGAGTAATTGATGACAGAATTTAATATTTTGTGTGAATTATTCTGTTAAGACTATAGTTTGCTTCCAACATTTTATATAGCCTCTGTGTCTCTTCTCTCACTGTTAGTCCGAGATGTGGGAGCCGAGGTGTGGTTTTAAATGTGCAAGACCTTGAGATGACCACTGGAACATCTGTGGTTCCTTCCCTTCAAACCTATTTCCGGTTCCGAGACCTGTTACTAGGAGACCAGACATTTTATGATGACAGGTACATGTTTAAGTGATCATGTGTTATGTTGCTCAGTTTTGTCACTTACTCCAACTGAACTGCATCCAAAAAAAACAACAAAACAGATTGGGGCGACAAGGTGGCTCAGTGGTTATCTTGTTGCCTCACAGCAAGTAGGCCGCTGGTTGGAGTCCCGGCTGGGCCAGTTGGCATATCTGTGTGGAGTTTGCATGTTCTCTCGTGCGTGGGTTTCCTCCGGGTGCTCTAGTTTCCCTCACAGTCCAAGAACATGCGCTATAGGTGAATTGGATGAACTAAATTACTCATAGTGTACGAGTTCTTGTGAGAATGAGAGACTGTATGTGTAACGGAGGCCAGCTAGTAAGTGCTGTGCAGGTAAACCTCAGTCCTCTGACCTCTAAAGGTGCTCTAGCAACAGAAGCTAGAGGCATGGTCTTTAGCCTCCTTGGTAAAGCAACTGACTCCCATGCGGAAGGTCGCCTGATCGATACCAGCTCAGAGCGGGTTGGGTGGTGTAGGACCGGCGGGGTTACATTGACAATAACCATTGACTTCCAAATATATGTTTATACTGGGTTGTGGCTGGAAGGGCATCCCCTGTATAAATATATGCTGGAATAGTTGACGGTTCATTCTGCTGTGGCATCCCCTTATAAATAAGAGACTAAGCCAAAGGAAAATGAATGAATAACAACAGATCAACTGAAATAATATTTTTTTCAGTTTTCTGCCAAATATGGCCAAAATATTGATAATAGATACTGTGTTAATCGTCTGACTGATTACACACACTTTCGTCTTAGTTGCTAACTTAAAAAGAAGTTATTTTATGGTGAAATTACCATAATTACCAAACAGATAACTAGACTCTGAGTTAGGTCTAATGGTTTGAAATGAACATAGACCAGAAAAAAGTCTCCACTACTTTCCACTGTAGAAAAATTAAGCCAAAATATCCAGGTATGGCTGCTGCCATCTTTTGGATGATGATGCCAATGATGTTATTTGGAGCCTAAGTCTGCTTAGTAATGTTTATGAGCAATGTTATTAGAAAAATCAACTCTGAAAGCCCTCATAAGATAAATGGCTTACCAACAAATGATGTAAAACATCACTGTAAATAAATTGAAGTGTAATTAGATTGTTTAGCATGGCTCACATTCTGTTTGTTTACAATGAGAGGATTCCTATTACACTAGCTATGTTTCCATTCACCTATTTTTATGCGCATTAGCATAGGTGCATAAAAAACGGTTGATGGATACACCATGATGCGCATAAATTTTGAAAATGTGCATAAAAAACGTATGCGCATAACAGAGTAGAATAAACTTTTTATTTGATAAAAAAAGATGCGCATAAACTACGATGGAAACACTTTTACCGCACAAATTTCAGTATGCGCATTAAAAAAGGTCATGTGATTGTGTGATAAGAGATCATGTGATAATGAAAATGTGTGTAAATGGACAAACCAGCAGGCTGAGCACGCCTTAAACCACCTGAACTGTTGCTTTGGTCTTTCTAAATATTAGTGGTATTATATTATCAATGACCTCCAGAATCAAGAGCGTCTGTGCTCCGCATCTGACACCTTTCAAACGCCACCGCGTGTTCACTGCGTGTCAGGATTGCCTTCTAAGGCGCAAGTCATTTATTAGATAAAGAAAAGATTGACGCAGCTTCTCCTATTGCAGCTTATTCAATTTTTAATGTTGATATTTGGCGTCAGTTAATCAGGAAATGACGACTTTGTTCGATTTGGCTCGTTGGATGGAAATGCCGCTTTATTCACACATCTTTTATGCGATAAACCAGTTTTGCGCATTCATTCGCATTTTTGGATGGAAACATAGCTACTGATAGAGGAAACCTTTCCTTAACCAGCCAACACGGTGTGAGCAAAATAATTAGGCTTCATTTTTATTAAAGTATAAAAATAGTTTTTCATAAGGATTTTAAACAGTCTAAGTTAAAGTTGTATAAAGCCGTGAATTAATCCAGCTACAATAATCACAATATAACAATATTACACTTGAAGCAAAGAAGTATCAGTAAACAGCTCTAATAATAAGTGAAAAAACGCATGCAGATGTAACACAACGAATGACACAGCTGTATTAAAAACGATGGAGAAATATAACGATGGAGAAATATAACGATTTCTGAAATGATTATTTCTAATTGGTTGAGTCTGTTGTGGCTGCTCAGTGGCAGAGTGAGTAGCACGTTCGCCTCACAGCAAGGTCACTGGTTCGAGCCTCGGCTGGGTCAGTTGGCGTTTCTGTGTGGAGTTTGCATGCAACATGCGCTATGGGGAATTCAATAAGCTAAATTGTCTGTAGTGTATGTGTGTGAATGAGTTCGTATGAATGTTTCCCAGTGATGGGTTACAGCTGGAAGGGCATCCACTGCGTAAAACATATGCTGCAAAAGGTGGCAGTTCATTCCGCTGTGGTGACCCCTGATCAATAAAGCCCAAAAGAAAATGAATGAGTATGTTGTAAAAGCTGTGGCTGTTGATGACTGTTCTGCTATCAGTATTTTGTAAAAACTGTTTCCATAAATGGAATAACCGATCAAAAAAGCAATAAGCCTGTGAAGCTAGGATTTGCAGTGAATTTATAAAACATTTATAAGGCTCTATATTATGCCTAACAACACCCCTCAGCTGTTAGAAATTCACAGTAAACCACAGCTTCTTGGGAATATTTGCTTTGAAAATGCTGTGGTAGACCTGAACCGAAAGTGGGGGGTGTCATGACCGTTTAAATATCTGCAAGCATATTATGTCAAGAACTTGCATACAGCACCTTTAACGTAACACGTTTGAAAGTTGTTGATAAAACAGCTGTTAAACATGACTGTTTGAAAACCCATTGAATTGATACAGACAGGTGGGTTTTTACTTCTGGTACCGTCGGTTCTGCTCTATTCACCGCATTGACCAATAATGTACTTGATTGAAATTGACTTCAGTTTTTGTCAAACATCGCAACTCTATTGACCAAACACAATGGGAAATGTCACTGCAATTCTGCTGAAGCACCACAAAGAATCCAAATATGCAGTTTGAAAATCATGCAGTCGCATTGCTTCTGTAAACCCACGAACGAGCAAACAAGTATTTCCTGGGCTATTTGATTCTGGCAAACCTTGAATCTTAAGAAAAAGTCTTGTGTATGTGTGTGGGCACACAGCCACATCTCTCCAGATCGACAGAAATAGCCTCTTGAGCAGGTTATTATCTGTAATTTCCTGAGAACAGGAGGGAGAGAGAGAGAGAGAGAGAGGGTGGGCGCTGCGGAAAGGTAGAAAGCAAGTACAAATTGCTCATTTGCCTGAAATGTTTTAATGATCTTTTAGTGAGTTTGTGGCTTCTTCATTCACAGTTCTCTGTAAACAAACACATTATGATATATCATCAAACCGAAGAACAGCATCGCTTGAGGCATGTTGCTATGACGACTGTCATTCACCAAGCAATAAAAACATTTGTTTAATTAGCTTTATTTATTAACAGAATGCACGTATATTGGTAGGTTTGTCATGCTTTGCAGCTGTCATAGACAAACTAATTAGGTCAGTATTTGAAAGTGAGATGCTTGCAAAACTAATAAACAATTAAAGTGCATTTAAATTCTAATGTAGAGACGCACACGACAGAAAGAGAGGGAGAGACTGAGCGAAACCCTGCCAGCAAAGCGCATGCTTGCGCGCCTGCAATCAAGAGCGTGTGGGCGGGTTATTTTGAACCGCGCCGCTGTAGATTATGTACTTCCATAACAATCCTCTCAGCTCAGATCTCAGCACATCCTCGGCTAGAAAGCCTCTGGGTTTTCTCTGTTATGGAACAGAAGAATGCAGTGCCATCCTGGGTTAACCCGGCTCTGGTCAACTGGAGGCTGGACTCTTTCGGTAGTGATGCTGGGCAGAGGTAGGAAAGTCCCTGCAGTCTTGTGCATGACTGAATACCTGGAAATGTTCCGTCAAGTGAACTTTTTTGCCGCTTTTTTGTCGAATTTTATTGTAGTGCTTTTGGAGGTGTTGCTAATAACATACTTTTTCAGTTGTCAAAGTTTTTGGTCATTAAAGGGATTGTTCACTTAAAAAGGAAGATGTACTCAATGTTTACTTACTCTTAAGTGGATCCTTTTATGATTTCCTTCTTTCTGTTGAACACAAAAGATGATGTTTTGAAGAATGCTGCAAAATCTGGTATTCGTTGACATCCATAGTTGTAAAAAAAAATACTAGGGTAATCAAAGTTTTCAATATTCTTCAAAATATTCAGCAAGAAAAACAATTCTTAAACAAGTAAAGGATGAGCAAATGATGACAGAGTTTCCATTTTTGGGTGAACTCTCCCTTTAATTTCAATTTCCGATTTTACGTAAAGCATGCTACATACAAACCCCCATGAAACATGGTATTTTTCAGACAGTACTTTATACCAGGGGTCGTAATGTTAATGGCTCCGTCTCACTTTATGATGGCTCATAAAGCCTCCGGTCCTGTGGTCTCCATGGGAACTGGCGGACACTTCGCATCTCCAGTTTGGGATTGTGATGTAGAGATCTGCTCTTAGTGCTGAACTATGTAAACAAAGTGAAACACGGTGCTCGACCGAGGAAATAAAAGAGTCCTTATGCCACAAAACATCACTGATCAGTTACACACCCACAGGAAATATGACACATTCTGCCACATATAGGGATTTCAGCATTTCTAATGGCATTATATAACATAATTAATGCATCGTAATCAGGTACATTCAGGATTTCATGCATAACATGAATGCATTTGATCATCATTAAGATGTAATTCAGTTCAGGTTTGTTTGTGAAGTACTTTTCATGGTGATTAATGTTCCAAAGCACATTTCCAAAAGGTGCACATTATTACAATGCAATCAAATCATATTTGGTGAACGCAGTACAGCTGTCAAGCATGCATACATCTAATCTTGGGCTGCAACTAACGATTATTTTAATAATCAATTAATCTGTCGATTATTTCATCGATTAATCGGATAAATAGTAAAACAAGAAAAGCATTCAACTCCAACCCTATATTCAAAAAAAGCTTATCCCTGAGCTGTCATTCATTCATTGATTTATTCATTCATTTTCTTGTCGGCTTAGTCCCTTTATTTATCCGGGGTCGCCACAGCGGAATGAACCGCCAATTTATCCAGCAAGTTTTTACCCAGCGGATGCCCTTCCAGCCGAAACCCATCTCTGGGAAACATCCATACACACATTCACACACACACACTCATACACTACGGACAATTTACCCTACCCAATTCACCTGTACCGCATGTCTTTGGACTGTGGGGGAAACCGGAGCACCCGGAGGAAACCCACGCGAAGGCAGGGAGAACATGCAAACTCCACGCAGAAACGGCAACTTTCGAACAAGAGGTTCGAACCAGCGACCTTCTTGCTGTGAGGTGACAGCACTATCTACTGCACCACTATCTACTCGCCCTACCTGAGCTGTCATAATAATAATAATAATATTAAAATAAGACAACTAACTAAGTAGTTTGTCCTGTTTTCAATCCAATTATCTAAAAAAATCCTAAATCAAGATACATACTAGACACATGAAGTAGCATAAGAAATTATGTCTTATTTTGAGGTGTGTTTTTTTCAGAAAACAAGTGATTATTGGCTTAAAACAAGCAAAATTATTTGCAAAAATATTTGCCAATGGGGTAAGAAAAACATTTTTAATAAGATATAATCTCAAACTGAATTTAAGCATCACTTAATTTTCTCATGCCATTTTTTTTTGTCTGTTCTTGATTTAAGATTTTTTACGTATTTGGACTGAAAACGAGACAAGAAAGAAAGAAAGAAAGAAAGAAAGAAAGAAAGAAAGAAAGAAAGAGAGAAAGAATAGTTTTTTTGTAGTGCAGCTATACATGACAACAGATGGAAAAATTAATGATCAAAAAAGGCGAGTGAACAAAAACTTTAGTTTATAGTCTTGCAAAGTGCAAAGTAACTATAACACCGCTGCTTTACTTCTGATATTAATCCTTTTGCTTTGGGTTTAAAATATTCTGGAACCAGGGGTTTGTTCTTCGTAGCTCGCTTAAATGATCTAAGATGATTTGGCAGATTCTGGATCTGTTAATCTTCATAACTGATCGCTGGCTAATTTGGTTCTTCAGACAAGTTTACAAATCAGATTAAAATGTCTGGATAAACTGATCTGAGATCACTGCATGTGTTGTGAAGGACAGATCTATCAATCCTCGAAATCATGATCAGAAAAGCAACGATTGGTTGATGGCACTGCAGTGTAATGACATCATCTGAATAATATTGATAGTGTTTACAACACGTGTCAAATCGTCAATAACCAAATCCAGCTAACTGAGTAATCCACATAGGAAGAACAGACCCCAGGAGTCATTTTTAGGTGACCATTCACACACCCTCAACACAATTCTTGACATTTCATTGGGATAATTTAATTTTTTTATGTTCAATCCACATAAATTTGTTAAGTGTTAAGTTAACTTAATCGATTTGTGTTGGGACAACGTGAATGAATTGTATGGAACCCTGTGTTTTTTTTTTTGTTTTTTTTTTTACTTTATAACACTTTACAATAATGTTGCATTAGTTGATACATTTGCTATTTACATGAACAAACAATGAACAATACATTTATTACAGTATTTGTCAATGTTAGTTATCATTAGTTAATGAAAATACATCTGTTCAAGTTAACTCCCAGGGAATTAACTAATGGAAACAAGCATGAATGTGGATTGTAATAATGCATTAGTAAATGTTACACTATGATTAATGAATGCTGTACAGGTATTGTTTATAGTTCATGTTAGTTAATACATGAACTAATGAAACATTATTGTAAAGTGTGACCAAATATATTTTAAGTGAAGTTTATTTGTAAGCTAATTTTGAGAGGATCACGTGCTTATATTTGCTTGCAGCCGGCCCCGCATTATCCAATTTATGATTCACTAATCAGACGATTCCTAAGCCACAGTCATCTTCGTTTTGAAGAATCCCCCTTTCCACCCCTACTCCTCCTCCGTTTTTAGATTTGATGACACTGTGGCCTATGGTTAGCATTGTTGCCTTATATCAAGAATGTCACTGATTTTAGTCCTTACCAAGCCAGCTGATGTTTCATGTTTACAACACGCTGACGTCTACTACAGCCAATCAGAACCTTCAGACGCATTCACATCCACGCTATTTATTTAAAAAAGAAAAAGCCTTGGAATATTTTTCCAGACACGTTTAGCTGCTAGATGTTAGTCAGATAACGTTTCGATGTTCCTTTTTAATGCTAACTCAACTGTGTAAAAAATTATCGATAAAATGCTTATGCTAAGGTGCTGTTTGTTTACCTTCAAGCTCTGCTTCTGTTGCTTGATGCATGCTCCAGTGAGCGCCAGCATAGGCACATATTATGAACATCTCGACATGTGAAAGTATTCTTCCATATGTTTTCATCGAAGTTGTTCACAATACTTATCCATCCACAGGATTTGTGATGTAGTCAAAACATTTAGCTGCAATTCGTGTTTCTGCCTTTGGTTGTCTCTAAGACAAAAGCAGCTGCATAAATGCTAAAGTTTTAAATAAAAGTGAAAGCATCAAAAAAAGCCTGACCCCCTTTATGTTTACAAATACAACTGCTGCCGTTCTCATTTCTGGTTAATGATGTCAGAATTTACCGGTATTTTGGAATGGATATGTGAATAGTCCTTTCCGGAAAAATTCCAGAACGTCCTTACCTTACTGACTCAGTAACTATTTATGAAAAGTAACTAATAACTATTAACACTTACTATTATGAAGAGCAACTAGTAACTATTAACAGTTACTATTTATGAAGAGGAACTAGTTACTATTAACAGTTACTATTATGAAGAGTAACAAGTAACTATTAAAAGTTACTATTTATGAAGAGTACCTATTAACAGTTACTATTATGAAGAGTAACAAGTAATTATTAAAAGTTACTATTTATGAAGCGTAACTATTAACAGTTACTATTTATGAAGAGTAACTATTAACAGTTACTATTTATGAAGAGTAACTATTAACAGTTACTATTATGAAGAGCAACTAGTAACTATTAACAGTTACTATTTATAAAGAGGAACTAGTAACTATTAACAGTTACTATTTATAAAGAGGAACTAGTAACTATTAACAGTTACTATTATGAAGAGTAACTATTAACAGTTACTATTTGTGAAGAGGAACTAGTAACTATTAACAGTTACTATTATGAAGAGTAACTAGTAACTATTAACAGTTGCTATTTATGAAGAGTAACTAGTAACTATTGACAGTTACTATTTATGAAGAATAACTAGTAACTATTAACAGTTACTCTTTATGAAGAGGAACTAGTAACTATTGACAGTTACTATTTATGAAGATTAACTATTAACAGTTACTTTTTATGAAGAATAACTAGTAACTATTAACAGATACTCTTTATGAAGAGGAACTAGTAACTATTAACAGTTACTATTATGAAGAGTACCTATTAACAGTTACTATTATGAAGAGTAACTATCAACAGTTACTATTTATGAAGAGTAGATAGTAACAATTACTATTTTGAAGAGTAAGAAGTAACTATTTAAAGTACTATTATGAAGAGTAACTATTAACACTTACTATTATGAAGAGCAACTAGTAACTCTTAACAGTTACTATTTATGAAGAGTAACCATTAACAGTTACTATTTATAAAGAGGAACTAGTAACTATTAACAGTTACTATTTATAAAGAGGAACTAGTAACTATTAACAGTTACTATTTATGAAGAGTAACTATTAACAGTTACTATTTATGAAGAGTAACTAGTAACTATTAACAGTTACTATTTGTGAAGAGTAACTAGTAACTGTTAACAGTTACTATTTATAAAAAGCAACTAGTAACTATTAACAGTTGCTATTTATGAAGAGTAACTAGTAACTATTGACAGTTACTATTTATGAAGAGTAACTAGTAACTATTTACAGTTACTCTTTATGAAGAGTAACTAGTAACTATTAACAGTTACTTTTTAGGAAGAGTAACTAGTAACTATTAACAGTTACTGTTATCAAGAGTAACTGGTAACTATTAACAGTTACTATTTGTGAAGAGTAACTAGTAACTGTTAACAGTTACAATTTATAAAAAGCAACTAGTAACTATTAACAGTTGCTATTTATGAAGAGTAACTAGTAACTATTGACAGTTACTATTTATGAAGAATAACTAGTAACTATTAACAGTTACTCTTTATGAAGAGGAACTAGTAACTATTGACAGTTACTATTTATGAAGATTAACTATTAACAGTTACTTTTTATGAAGAATAACTAGTAACTATTAACAGATACTCTTTATGAAGAGGAACTAGTAACTATTAACAGTTACTATTATGAAGAGTACCTATTAACAGTTACTATTATGAAGAGTAACTATCAACAGTTACTATTTATGAAGAGTAGATAGTAACAATTACTATTTTGAAGAGTAAGAAGTAACTATTTAAAGTACTATTATGAAGAGTAACTATTAACACTTACTATTATGAAGAGCAACTAGTAACTCTTAACAGTTACTATTTATGAAGAGTAACCATTAACAGTTACTATTTATAAAGAGGAACTAGTAACTATTAACAGTTACTATTTATAAAGAGGAACTAGTAACTATTAACAGTTACTATTTATGAAGAGTAACTATTAACAGTTACTATTTATGAAGAGTAACTAGTAACTATTAACAGTTACTATTTGTGAAGAGTAACTAGTAACTGTTAACAGTTACTATTTATAAAAAGCAACTAGTAACTATTAACAGTTGCTATTTATGAAGAGTAACTAGTAACTATTGACAGTTACTATTTATGAAGAGTAACTAGTAACTATTTACAGTTACTCTTTATGAAGAGTAACTAGTAACTATTGACAGTTACTATTTATGAAGAGTAACTAGTAACTATTAACAGTTACTATTATGAAGAGTACCTTTTAACAGTTACTATTATGAAGAGTAACTATCAACAGTTACTACATATGAAGAGTAACTAGTAACAGTTACTATTTTAAAGAGTAACAAGTAACTATTTAAAGTTACTATTTATGAAGAGTACCTATTAACAGTTACTATTATGAAGAGCAACTAGTAACTCTTAACAGTTACTATTTATGAAAAGTAACTAGTAACTCTTAACAGTTACTATTTATGAAGAGTAACTATTAACAGTTACTATTATGAAGAGCAACTAGTAACTATTAACAGTTACTATTTATAAAGAGGAACTAGTTACTATTAACAGTTACTATTTATGAAGAGTAACTAGTAACAGTTACTATTTATGAAGAGTAACTAGTAACTATTAAAAGATACTATTTATGAAGAGTAACTATTAACAGTTACTGTTTTGAAGAGTAACTGGTAACTTTTAACAGTTACTATTTATAAAAAGTAACTAGTAATTATTAACAGTTACTATTTATGAAGAGTAACTAGTAACAAATTGCTTTTTTAAAGAGGTATATAAAGTTAAAATTATATAAAATTGATCTTACATGTTGATTGACAGTGTTTTTTTTTTCATCAACTCCACTCATGTTTTTTTTCCCCTGTAGGGTTCATGTGGAGTTTTATGTGGACGAGAACACATTTAAAGAGAGACTTAAACTTTTTTTCATCAAAAACCAGAGATCCAGTAAGTCAGATTACCTCAAACCTTCAATTTAGCCCACTTTCTAGTCTCTCAGTGCATGTTCTGTGACTTTTGCCTTCAGGTTTAAGGATCCGAATATTCAACTTCTGCCTGAAGCTTTTGACATGTGTTCTCTACATCATACGGGTGATGACGGACAATCCAGCCCAGCTTCGCCACACATGGTCAGAACTGTGATTTAATGTGATAGTTCAACCATATAATCAGAAGTTAATTTACTTTCCTGCAGACCATCTAATATGTAGGGGATTTTCCTTGTTTAAAAGAAGTTTTAAAGGGTTAGTTCACCTAAAAAAGTTCAATCATTAATTACACCCTACAACTTAAGATATCTTAGATGGAATAAGAGAGCTCTCTGTCCCTCTATATACAGCAATGGTCCCTCCAGAATAGGAACCAAAACATTCAAAACTGTCCAGGTTACTTCAGTGGTTTAACTGTAATCATACATTTTGTGTTTTGGCTGATGATTCTGACTTCAGCTGTATATCGATGTACATTAATTGAACTAAACCTCTTCTCTTACAGTGTGAACTGCAGCTCACAGAACGACATCAACTGGTGAGACAAAACAACGGCAGCAATGTGCAGTTTATTTTCACTGTCGTCAGATGTGTTTCCAGCCTGATTTCATCCGTTTCGTTCTCTCAGGGAGCTGATATTCTGGGTTGACAGAAAGGTACCGGTGTGGGCCATTCAGGTGAGTCAAAGGAAAAATCAACCATGTATTTATCAAGCAGAGGCCTTTCTTTAGTCTTCATGAAGCTCTGCAACATTTATGAGTCTTTTGGTTTGAATTCACGGTTTGGAGGAAGTCATGTTATTTGTCATTGAATCAATATATATATATAAATAGATTTCTATATAAATTATTTCTATAGCACTTTGTACAGTGTAGATTGTGTCAAAGCAGCTTAACAAATTAAGTTGTAGTAAATAATAAAGAACTAACTTATAAACTATACAAATAAATTATAAACTATTTAAATAATGTTTATATGGTTAGAAATAAGTTTTTAATAATAATTATATACACTACCTGACAAAAGTCTTGTCGTCAATCCTAGTTTTAAGAGCAAGTAATAAGTTGACTTCTAGTTAATCATTTGGAAAAGTGGCAGAAGATGGATTTTTCTGATGGATCATCTGTTAAACTGCATCCCAATCATCACAATACTGCAGAAGACCTACTGGAACCCGCATGGAGTCAAGATTCTCATAGAAATCAGTTAAGTTTGGTGAAGGAAAAGTCATGGTTTGGGATCACAATCAGTATGGGGAGTGTGAGAGATCTGCAGAGTGAATGGCAACATCAACAGCCTGAGGTATCAAGACATTTGTGCTGCCCAACACATTACAAACCACAGGAGAGGGACAATTCTTCAGCAGGATAGCGCTCCTTCTCATACTTTAGCCTCCACAACAAAATTCCTGAAAGCAAAGAAGGTCAAAGTGCTCCAGGATTGGCCAGCCCAGTCACCAGACATGAACATTATTGAGCATGTCTGGGGTAAGATGGAGGAGGCATTAAAGATGAATCTTGATGAACTCTGTGAGTCCTGCAGGAACGCTTTCTTTGCCATTCCAGATGACTTTATTAATCAGTGATTTGAATCATTGGAGAGATGTA